ACTACGTGATGGTATGGTAACGTAGCGGGAAACGTTTCAAGTTCGGCTTGTTTTTCACCGCCGGCCGCAGCCGACTTGCAAGACGTCACCACCGCATCGAAAGGTAAGGCAAGTGCGGCGAAACGCACAGATTTGGATCCAGCTTTGGAGTGTTGGTGATCAAGCAAGCAATGGTCAATAAAGATTCGTGAAAAAAAGACAATATTTCAATATTGATTTTAGCGGTAACGGGGGGTAGTTGAATGTTGATGCACAAGTACGTAGCTTTAATGTTTTTAATACGAAATGCGCCGAACACTTCTTTAATAGCGCCCGCCCGATCGACCCATGGAGAGCAACAATCATACAGGCGGAGAACTGGGCGGAGTATTTGGGTGTATAGGTGCTACCGAATTTAAAATTTGACACCGAAACCAATTAATACAACAACAAAAGACTACTGGGATCAATAGGACTTGCGATTCCGAACAGGAGAAAGTGACAAGTTTGACTGCGTTTCAAGTAATCTCTCGTTATGTGATAGATGTTTTTGTCACAAAATCTAAGGAATAAACACGTATTAATGTGTACTCCGTAAAACTTATAAGTTCCTTCTCGGGGTCCATGTTCTGGAACGCTGTCCTCAGCGCTGCCACGGCCCTCTCTGTGTTCTTCAGCTGTAGGTGTACTTTGCCTGTCGGCGCGCCAAACACCCCCACCCACCGGCCGGGCGGTAAGATTTCATCAAAGACTACATTTTAAGTTAACTCCGCCCCTATCATTGTAGCTTGCCGAACAGTCGAGTAGGAGTACATCTAGCTGGAATTTTCACGTCGTACTGGCTGGTGTAGCCCGCTACAACTTGAGTAATTTCCTGTGGCATTTAATGATTTATCAAGATTTAAAAATATTTGTGATACGAAGTGAAACATGGTTAACAATTTCTGAACCTTTGAAACGACATGGGCATAATCTTTGTTGAAGATTCCTGAGTTGAACTCAAGCCGGAAGTGTATTGGAAATGATAACCATCAGTCGAGGCACAACTGTTATCACATGTTACGTTACGACGATCAAGAACGTTCACGGCTTGCGGACCATTTTAAATATTACCACTCATAAACCCTACAATTATATGTGTACTTACGGGAGGTTATATTTTTGCCGGGGTTCCACTGCGCCGGCTAGCTGGGGAACGATCCTGTCGGCATGACAAAGCGCCGGGCATCATTGCCAGAGACCTACATTTTCTTACCGTGGGTGACTTGACTTCTTCTTTTACCGCAACTTGGTGTCAATATCGACGATAGTCACAGGAAATATGTTCATTTATTGAAGTTTAACTTTATTTCCACTCGTCAATATTCTTATCTAAACATGCTATAGACGATCGATGTTCCAAGCTCCCCGTGCCGGTGTTCCGCTATATTCCTGGGTCGTCCACGGATTTGTCGGCGGAAAACTCAAATAAAGTACGCACCGCGACTTTGGCGACGGCCCGAGACACTTTTGAAAAATGTAAAAAGTGCGTACTATATTCGGGAATTTACGGCGTATTTCTTGTAATTCGGTACTACGTGACGCCATATTTTACAAACGTTTTTTCGGTGGCCCTCCCCCTCAGGCCGATTTTTTTTTCGATGGCCCTCCCCCGGCTCAAAATTTTTTCCATGGCCCTCCCCCCAGGCCAAATTTTTTTTCAATGGCCCTCCCCTCCAGTGCACCAGCCCTCCCCCCCCGGTAAATATCGTACAGTCCCTAACACACATGTATATCAGATAACACACATGTAATCAAGTAATTTATGAACAGATACATGTACAGAATGTACCCTGTAGTTTTAAATCACACAGGGTTCAAATAGACAAAAATTACATTAAACTTGATAAGGAAAATCTTACTTTCTGTTTGATATTTTCAGGGTTGAGTTCGTCGGCCATGACGGTGTTGGTTCTGCTGTCAAACACTAAAACTCCAGAATCTGGGGACAGAAGGGAAACATGTTAGTCATTCAGCGGATATACATGTATTTGCAGATGCATATACTATGATATAGATATATAGATATCATATATTCATACATAACTACTCTGTAACAACCAGCTGAAATATACAGACACAATATTTATACTTCTACCCACAGACAGTAGCTAGTACGGGGTCATTTTACATATGGCCGATCTTGATGTTTCAAAAACTTCAGAAGAAAGAAAAAAGCTACTAAGGAAGCAGGGAGAAACTTCTGTCTCCTTACTAAGTTACTATTGTTTTCACACGTTAGCAGTTGCAAGTATGTCTAGCTTCTTAATTAACAAAATCTTAACCTGTCTTAAGAGACTGCCAAAATAAGTAACACTGTCTCAAGACTTGAGACACTGCTGGATAAGATCCAAGAAGCCAGTCATCTCAGTTCAGGTCCAGTAGTGCTGCCCCCCCCCCCACCTGGAATAGACATTACCCTTTACTGAAGTGTCTCAACACTACTGAGAGGGTCCTGGGAAGTGGACTGACCCAAATGTGTGCCCCCAGGGGGGTGTGCAGGGTCAGGGGGAGACAGGAAGCGGGTTCCCACCAGGAAACTGTCTGTTTTCTGTCTGCTGGGCTGGAAGTTTGGGTGCTGGGCAGACGGTTAGGAAGTCTGGCTTATCCTTAGGATAGGCATTCTTTTGCAACAAAATGGGTAACAAGTCAGACGAATCCATTATGAACTTTTTCATGATCTGTAACATGATAACAACTGAGACAATCTGGACTTTTATCACTTTTTCCTGAGGCCAAAGACCAACAGATTTTGACAATGTCAAGCTCATAAAGAAAGATATATATACAATAGACGTCTACAGTTTCATCTTTTCAAACCAAACGGAAACATACATGTACACGACATACTAGCATATAATATAGCAAAAATCATAAAGATCCATTGGTAACTTCTTGAGTTATATTGTTTCTTGAGTTCTACTGTTTCCAAAGAAAGAAGCACAGACGAGAGCCAGAGAAAACACCGCCCATCCCTTTAGCAGTGGTAACAACACTTATCCTGGTATAACAGACACAGACAAAACATTGCCCTTCCATCCAGTCTAGTGTGAACAATAGTCTGTGCCACTCAGGCAGGTACTAGTGTGTACACACACACATCCAAAACTTACTCCTAACACTAACACCTCGACATAACTCATGCGGTACAAGATTACCAAAAGCAACACTGACAAGGTTTCTCTCACAACAATACCTTACCACGTAGCCTGGGTGCCAGACTGCTGCCAGGGCAAGTATACAGGCTAGCTCTTCTGCTCCAGAGCTAGCCTGGGTGCCAGACTGTTGCCAGGGATGGTATACAGGGTAGCCCCTCAGCTCCAACGCTGACATACCCCAAAGGAAATTGTAGCATAAACACCCCTTAGTTAGACCCTTCTTTGGGCTGGCCCATGTACTGGTCCTAAGAAGAGGCTGGTATCCAGGCTACTTAAAATGGCATCGAGTAAGCTTACTGCCATGACTGAAAAGTCAGACCCCATGGATGTCCACAGATGTCAGTTGTGCTATGCTCTACTCCAAACAAAAACTCGCTGAACTTTTCTTCAACTTCAAGTTCAGCCCTGCCAGTGTGCACCAGATGTGCTGTACAGAACCTCCCATGATGCCGTGCGGTGTCCGCTGTGTGACCGGTGAGATAAGAAACAAGTACATCCTGTCTGACCTTGAAGGAAGGTCGTTCCGCCATGTAAACACTGATTGTAGGAATTCCCCTTTAACATCTGACTACACATTCTACTGGACCATGGATGAGTTTGCTTCGTGTCAAAGTACAGATACAAGTATTGCAGAGATATTAAGAGCGTAATTGTAATACAGAGCTTGAAATCAAATACAGGATAGATTTACCTTGCTTACATTTCAGTGTCTATCAGACACCTTCTTCAAAGATTCTGACTGGAGTTTTGTTTCTAGCCGCTATATCATAGCCGATGTAGGTGGCAATGTTCTCTATCCTATGACTTAGTAACTTACTGACTTAAGTCCTCCTCTGCCACCCAAACCACCATGGCTGCCCAGTAGTCTCTGTCCTGCATTGCCTTCCCCTATACTTTCAATCTAACCTGATGAAACTATTTTCGGGGGGCTTGAGATCACTATTTGTCTTATCTGTCATTTATCTACTGCTGGATATAACCAGAATTCTACAGCAACACCTGTTCTTGTGCTCATATTTCAACTTGAGTCTTGATAATGAGAGTTTGACAAACCACAGATCCTCTAGTCTACAGGAAGACAGACTTCTGAAGAAGACCTTATACAAAACACCTTCCTCCACCCCAGGGCTTGTCCTTGGGTGTGACCTTGTGACCTCTGGAGGTCAGACTGACCCCTGGAGGAACACATCAGGTCATGGAACAACAAACCACAACTCCTGTCGCCATGGCGATGTCATCTGCTACCATGGAAACCCATCTGATCAACTTTCAAAACATGCTTAGTACAGTGATAAGCTGTGAAATACAGTGTGATATACTATAGGCAACAGTTGTTAATCATCATTTCATGCCATACATGCCAGAATCACACAGAAGCACAAGATTGAGAAACCTACAGTGTCTCTAGTACAAGGTTGTAGGTATTCAAACTTGAATTTGAAGACAGGAACACATTAAGTTTGCTAAAGAACAAAACTACCCTTCTAAAGACAAAGGCCTTTTGCAAGGATCCTATACTGCTTCCCATAGCATACATGTAAGTTCTGGAGACCTATTAGTCTTTACCAACACCCTCTCGCAACCTGTACATCCTACTACAGATAGGTACAGGTGCCAGTTACAACACACAGACAGGTACTGTTCAGTACATGAACATGGAGAACTTTACTTCAAGGGGGAAATTCCCCAATATTTAAGTTTTCAGAGCCCATCTCACTTTATAAAAGCCTTTGTCATTTCCCAGGTTTAGCAAATGTATCATAATTCATCCGTAGTGACAGAACAAACCAAAATTGACAAGTTAGTACATGTACTTCCATAACATAAGCATTTATTTGCTACTTGTTGAACTTGTCCAAACAACGTTGTCCCATGTCAGGGCTTTCTAAATTACAACCACTCACCAACAACCCTATAGCTAACAATCAGCTCACTTATGTCTGACACCCCTCTAACACAGAACAGGAGCTCCAGGTCTGACCTCTGACCTCCCTGCCCTTGGCAATGGCCATGAGTCAGGTCAGATAAGGTCAGCCATGTGGGATGGACTTCATTTGCATACTCATAAACTTGAATGACAACTCATCAAAATGATAAGTTATTTCAAAGTTGCAAGCTGCACAATCTGTATAGCCTACCTATGTAGAAGTATCAAGCTATGATATAATAAACCTAGTATATGGGTCAAATTGTTGCTAAAGAACCACCTCAGTACTCAGTCTGTGCCTGTGCTGAATTAGTGATATACACGACTACAAACTCCAACACTTCCCAGTCACCATGCACCATCTCTGTACTTCAGTCTGGTCATGTCTGTTCAGTTCTCACTGGAACTGAAGATAGGATGAATGAGTGAGTGAGTGAGTGAGTGAGTGAGTGAGTGAGTGAGTGAGTGAGTGAGTGAGTGAGTGAGTGAGTGAGTGAGTGAGTGAGTGAGTGAGTGAGTGAGTGAGTGAGTGAGTGAGGGAGTGTATGCGTGTGTGCGCGCACGCACATGTGCATATGTGTGTATGTGTGTGTGTATTCGTGAGTGTACACCTTGGGTTTTGTCTCAACCTTATAGCCAACACTGCTCTGCTCTCCTGCCCAAACTGTAACCAGCAGTCCTATTGCCAGAATAGGACTCTACATCCACATGAAGACACATGCGACTTCAGATGAATGACAGAAGAAGTAACACTGACAGACGAACAGCAATGACAAAAGTGGTCCTTGTACACTGACAGAGGTACATGTCATGTAGCCTGGTTCCCAGACCTTGTGTATCCTCTCCAGAGGCTAAAATAAGTCTGGTACACAGGGTAGACGGAGGAACACCAAGGAAGTCCTGCCTGGTTCTGTATTGTCTGTCTGCTTCCCACACAGACCTTTGAGCTGTGAGCTGCCAACACTACCACCCACACAGGAAGTACTGCACCCATTCCTACAGGTCTGTGTCTCAAGAACCACCAAGGAACCCAGCAGTGATCACAAGGAGTCTTCAAGGAAACCTGCAGACAGGAGACTTGCTGTGGGAGGAATTTCTGCCTGCTAAAATTGTCCACCAGGTCACAGAGGGAAATTTGGACCAAATCTGCCTGTGCTGACGTTGGACTAACCTAAACCATGCAGAGCTGGTAAAACTGGGGAAAAACTACCCCAGGAAAACTCACCAGTACAGAGTCAGGACCTGTGGTTGCTTTACTCCCAGTCAGCTGTGGTGTTCCACAGTAAGGACTAGAGAAGGGGCGTCCAGACTTACCGTATTCCCCAGGAAAAGTAGTGATTTAGTCTGGAATGGTGGAGTTTTCCAGCCAGCCAGCGATCTGGCGCTCCATTAGTGGGAGTCAGGTTACAGGGGAAGTCCTGCACAGAGGGGGGAGCCTGGTGGGGCGGGCTGGCCGCCGAGGAACTGCCTGATCTAAAGTACCACTCTCCGGAAAACAGTTCCAAGATTTGTGGAAAAGTGCATAAACAACATCTAAACCTCCATCTACCTGTCTTAGAAGTAAGAGCAGCTATCTAGAAGATAAAATCTTGATTTCCTTGTGAATAAAGTTTGATTTTTCGCGAGAATGTTGTTAAAAATGTCAACAGGATGAAAAGATTGATTGATGGATTCCAGAGCAGAGGCCAAGAAGAGACTGGCACGGAACCTGGCTCCACCGGCCAGCCCTGCTAGCCGAGGCCCCCTGCCCCAGACAGAGTTAAAAGCTACCACATGTGAGACAAGAGAACTGCATTCCGACCTCACAAGCCGACCAGACACCAGAACTGCTCCTCAGCCTCACTGGACTCCTCAAGA